AATAATCAAAATAATTGATTTTCATTTCTTAAAAAAAAGTAAAGGTGAAGTATATTAAGTCATTACACAAAGAGATGTTTTTAAGCTGTTTATTTCAGCAAGAAAACATTTTCCTGGTTGTGTGTGTATGTGTGGTCAACTCCTTCTGTCAACTCCCTTATTACATTTGGCTTCACTTAAAAATAATCTCAACATTGCGAATATCAATGTGGCTTTGGTACCTTTTGTTCCCCCTCCCAAACTTTTTTCTTCCACTCAACTTTCCATAAATATGCCCGAGTACAATGAATGTAAACATGCAGCAACCTTATTGACGGTTTTGTAAGCAATCACATGGTAACAATCTAACACGTATATATTACCAATCCCTTTTTATATACATTAGCCGTATGCAACAGATGAACTGCCTGAAACCGAATATTGAGTAATCATTAGCTGAAAGTGATAATCCACTTCAAAATAAATCAAACTGCGTCTAACCGAGTCACAGAGTTACTCAAATTAATATATATATATTTTTTTCTACGATATTATCGGGATATATTAGCGAGACGCTATTCGTTTCATGCCTGCATACTAAAATTAATTACGGTCTTACGCTGAAAGAAACAAACGCAGGGGGCGTGGCAGATGTCAGCGGTCACATGGGCCGGAAAATGTGGGGCTTAATTCCTGTGTTTGACTGCTCTCAGCTGCTGCTCCTTTGCCCTTCGCAGTGCAAACCCGCCGTCCGCCCCGTCCCGACCACCGACTCCCCGGTGGACTCTCCTCAGCGCACCATGTCGGGTAAGACGACGCGCGGCTCGGGATGCTCTCTTGCGCGGAACATCGCATCCGGACCTCGGCCTCTCTCCGGGCCGGACCGGAGCTGCGCGAACTGCGCTGTCCTTTTTTTTTTTTTTAACCCCTGAAATATCGCGAATTTAGGAAGCGTCATGGAAAACACCTGCTGCTGCTCTCCCGGCTCCTCTCGCGAGGGCGTCGACGAAGCGTTTCGTTTCGATTGATAATGTCGTAAAAAAATTTTTTAGATCCTCCTAAAAATTTTTGGATGCTTGAAATCGATGAGTTGCTGCAACGATTTGGACCAAAGTCAAGTTAGATTCGCTCGCAGGCAGCACATCCGGTTTGGAAAGTTTGATGTTATGAACAGCTTGCTGAAATGCTTTTCTCAGTAGATTTTTACACTAATTAAAAAAAAAATACAAAGACAAAACACATGTTGTACAATAATCAAATTTGATCTTCAGATTTGCTCTAAGGAGCATAAAATATTTCACATTTACACTAAATTACAGATCAAGTTCAAGGTGTATAGGTCTTGTTCACAGATAAATACAGGATTTCTGAAACATTGTTTATTACTAGATGCAAAATAAAATTGTTTATTTTGCATCTAGTATTTTTCCAGGGTTTCCTTCATAACTCAGCGATGCTCTTTCAGCACATGTTGCTAAGCACTGCCTATCAGATGGCTCCAACAAAGAAACCATTTTGTGGTGTTTGGATGACCAAAAAAAAAAAAAAAAAAAAAAACCCCAGTATAAAAAAAACCTGACAGTCATTTTTTAAAGCAAAAAAAATAAAC